CTGCAGCCTCTGCATCGTAGGTAGAAGTGGGGGTGCATGCGGTCACGACTGACCACTCGTCTCAGCGAGCGCCCGTCAACCCGCGTCCCTTAGATCAAGGTATAACCCTGCATGGCCCGATTCCGCCTTACCGGGCAGAGGTCCCAGCTAGCCAGCCTCTTCGGAGGAATCAGGAATTGGAAATATGGTTGCGGCACATTGAGCAAGCCCATCCTTATGGCACGGATGAGGCTCTGATCCGCGCCGCCCGTGGTAGCTGTAGGGGGACGGCGGATATAGTCGTTAACTCCCCAGTTTTTGACGGGATTGGGACCTGGGACGAGTTTAAGGAAACCCTTCGACAACGTCTCCGGGGGACGTGCTCGTCGATGGAGTACCTACGGCATTTGGGGTCGTACGTACTCGGCGACACTTCCCCTAGGGACTTCTATCTCGCGATCGAGACCGTAGTATACCAAGGCATGCGCGACTATCCTGGTGAACTTGGGCCAGCTGAACCTCTGATGAGGAGGACTTTTCTCCAAGGACTCCCGCTCTGGCTGAGCGAAAAGCTCCTGTTGATAGAGGATCAGCCACTTTACCGGGTGGTCGAAGCAGCCCAAAAAGCCTGGCACCATCGGCACTATGCCGGGCGGGTAGAGAAACCATTGGTCAGTTTCTCGAGCGAGGCAGGGCCTAAACCTCGCTCTTCTACTCCTCGCGAGGGTCGATCTCCGGTTGATCCCCTAGCAGAGTTACCCGTACGCACTCGAGAACCCCGACGCTGGTGTCCCTACCATCAGGTGACTACGCATGACGCCTCCGAGTGTCGTGCGGTGCGAGAGGGTAATCAGTGCACCCGGTGTGGCCGCCGAGGGCATGTGGCTGGGCGGTGCTTTTTTCGGGCAGAACTGTAGGGCACCGCCCAACAGAACACAACTGCAACCACAACGAGCCACTGTCAGGGACAATGATGATGCGGGCGCCGAGGGGAGCGACAGTTCCACGGAACCGGAGCTTCCCGAGGCACAGATTCAGGCGCTGTTGAATTGTGTGGTTGCTGGGACTAAGGTCTTGGCCTTTCTTGACTCGGGAAGTGAGGCAACGGTGGTGAAGGAGTCTTGTTTCAGGAGGATTTCCAACACCCCGCTCTCACTGCACCCACGCGGCCTTAGGGGGGCATCTGGGGCCGCGCTGGACATCAAGGGCAGGGCAACCCTTGAGTTTAAATTTTCCCGAGCTTGTTAGTGCCGGCACTCAGTGTTCGTGGTGAACGACGACACTAGGTTTCCAGCAGAGGTGCTGATAGGCGTGGACCTGCTGCGGAGGTTTTAAGTTGAACCTCTCCCCTGTTTCAGGGGCCAGCTCTGCTAGTTTTAATGGAGTCCGACTCGGGGTTTCGTTCTCGGGTGCCGGGTCCCTCGGCATCCTGACATACCACGAGCCAGAGGCCGTGCTACGTTGCTGTAGTACGAGCGGCGGAGACCGGGAAGGTGCGATGAGATGCGCGCGGAGAGTCACCTGCTCCCCTCGGGCGGGGCGATTCGTGCGATGCCTTGTGAACGGCTTGAAGGGCGGACTGGCTTGTGTTGAGAGCGACACAGCCAAGGTCCTGGTACCTCGCTTGTTGTGGACCTCTCCCAACCAGAGGTTGACGTTTGGGTCGTCAACGATCAGACAGTTCCGGTTGAGATCGAGCAAGGATTCGTCCTCTGCTATGCGGCGATCGTGGGTTTCACTTGATCGTCTCGAATACGACGCGGAATCCATGGACCAGGATTCCGGCGTCAACCCGGAAGATGTGGGCTCATCCTCCGGGGATAGTCGAGGAGCTTTAGACATCGATGATGGAAGCGAACCGGATAGTCTGATGGCGGACTTGGAGGACAGGTTTGATTTTGTACACGGACTCAATGATTTTGGCTATAACACGGACGAGTTTGAGGTTTTCCCGGTATGTTCTTTCGAGAACGAGGAACTCCCCTCATCAGCAGGGGCAGTTGGTGTTCCCCGAGTGAATCTTGCTCACCTGACGTCAGTCCAACGTGAACAACTTGTCCAGGTACTTGATCGTTACCCGGATCTGTTCATCGAAGGGCTGCCTCCAGGTGTGGTGCCACACATGAAGCATAAAATCAAAACCACGGACGACCAACCCGTCCGTGTGAAACAGTGGCGCCTCCCCGAGAGTACAGCAGTACATCCGTGGAGGGCGACAAGATGCTTTCTTGCTCACCATGGCTCTCTCCCGTTGTGCTAGTGAAAAAGAAGGATGGTTCGACATGCTTTTGCGTTGACTACCGTGCTTTGAACGCGAAAACAGTTTCAGATGCGTATCCCATACCCAGGATGGACGCTGCCATTGATCAGCTGGCGAGTAAATCTTGGTTTAGTGTCCTCGACGCTAAAAGCGCATACTGGACTGTTGAGGTGGATGAGAGGGACCGAGAAAAGACAGCTTTCTCGGACGGCGCCCGTCTGTTTCAGTTTTCGCGTATGCCCTTTGGATTGACGACGGCCCCGTCAACTTTTCAGAGGGCTATCGCCGCCGTTCTCAACCCGGTGTTGGGCCACCACGCGCTGGCATATCTTGACGACGTCGTAATATACAATGCAGGGTTTGAGCAGCACCTATCTCACCTCGATGCCGTGTTGCAGTTGCTCGCTGGAGCAGGGTTCAGGCTTAACCTTTCAAAGTGTCGCTTCGCGACCGACACTTTTCGTTTTTTGGATTACACCGGATGGTGTTTTGCCTGACCCTGACAAGGTTACAGTGATACGAGCCATAAAGACACCACGTAACCAACGCCAGTTCGCCAGTTCTTGGGAGCAACTGGTGCCCAATTACGCAAGGGTCGCATCTCCTTTGACTCGGCTCCTGAAAAAAGATACAAAATTTTCATGGAGCAAACCTCAGCAGGAGGCTTTTGAACGGCTTAAGCAGGCGCTTGCCACCGCGCCTTGCTTGATCCAACCAAATTTTGAGAAGCCCTTTGAGCTTCACACCGATGCTTCAGGCACGGCGATCGGTGCTTGCCTTATGCAGCTGGATAAGGTTGGAGAACTCCACCCTGTTGCATATTTTTCTCGGAAGCTTAGGGATGCCGAGACCATTGATCTGGAAGCCCTCGCTGTTGTCGAGAGCACTAGGCATTATCACCTTTACCTTTATGGGAGACGATTCCGTATCTTTACAGATCACAGGCCGTTGGTATCAGTCTTCCGCAAGCCAACTGCCTCGGTAAGGATGACGCGATGGGCTCACGAACTGACATTTTACGACTTCGAGCTTCTTTATAAGCCGGGTCGGGTCCACCACG